GGGATGTGGATAACCTGGAGAGGGTCCAGAGAAGGGCCACTCGTATGGTTAAGGGCTTGCAGGCCCAGCCCTATGAGGAGAGACTGGGGCACCTGGACCTCTTCAGCCTCCGCAAGAGAAGGTTGAGAGGCGACCTTGTGGCTGCCTATAAGGTCATCACGGGGGCACAGAAGGGAATTGGTGAGGTTTTATTCACCAAGGCGCCCCCAGGGGTTACAAGAAATAATGGCCACAAGCTAGCAGAGAGCAGATTTAAACTAGACATTAGGAAGAACTTCTTCACAGTTCGAGTGGCCAAGGTCTGGAACGGGCTCCCAAGGGAGGTGGTGCTCTCCCCTACCCTGGGGGTCTTCAAGAAGAGGTTACATAAGCATCTAGCTGGGGTCATCTGAACCCAGAACTCTTTCCTGCCTGTGCAGGGGGTCGGACTCGATGATCTAGTGAGGTCCCTTCCGACCCTAGCATCTATGAATCTATGAGGGGGTTAGGGATGTGGCATACGTGGTGGGGGTGAGCCAGGCCACTTGCCCCGTGTGGGTGTTGGGGTGGGATGGGGATATACTGTGCACGTGGCAGGCAGGAAGATTGGGCTATGCATACAGTAGGGCTGGGCTCAAGGTCCGTGGCCTACACTGCATGCATGTCCCAGCTTCCCAGAAGTTGGACAGCACCAGTATAAGCAATGAGACATTTAAATTTGTCTATCACCTTTGGGCTCTTGTGTGTCTTATTTTTGTGTATCCCACTCTCTATTTTGATGGGTGCAGAACCTGTTTTTGTTATTTACCCCAGACTTGGTCATGGTAACTGATTGTATCTGGTAATAAAACCTCACATTTTGGAAAAAAAGGTAAAGTAGGAAAAACATGGTCATTTATCTACTTATCACCTTCATACTCTACACTGCTTTCCCAGTGAACTGAGTGTAGTTTAAGGTTTTGTATGCCCTATTCAGTTTCTCAAGAGATTTAGTCCTACCTTCTTTGTCTTCCATGACCGTAATCTCCAGGATGGTTATAATCCACTGGATTACCATTAGCAACAATCAGTGTTTTATAAAAATATTTTATTTTATTTAAAGTTTCCTTTTTGGTTTTGTTATTTAAATTGTAGTAAATTAACTTAATCTTGGCAACTGTTCAGATCCTATAGTGAAAGCAGCCATAAATGTAGTCTGCTAGATAAGGATCCCAGAAGTCTACATGTGCATACAAGGCAGACAGTCCCAGCAAATGGACTTTGAGCTTTCAACCTACCCTGCTTTAAAAGTTCATGACTGAAAAGCCCAGCCCATTTCAATAAAGTTGTTCCCACCTTCTAGGAAAGATAGACTACCTGACAGCTTATCAATTTTTGCTTTAAGCCTAAAGTTTCCTGATCACTTTCTTTCATCTAGTTGGTCCTTTCTGAATTGCTTACCAAATTTCAGCTGCTGTTCACATTTACAGGGACTTTTTCCTTTTGTCCACTGGGGGTCATCACCCAGCTTTGGCCATGAACATTTTGTTTCTGCATGACAGCACTGCATATTTACTGCGAAAATAAATGCAATTGAATCACAAAGATGTTCTGTAATTGCAGCTTGCTAACTCCACTTGTAACTGGATAAAATAAAAATACAAATACACTACTTATTCTCTTATATTTTTATTCTGTTAGTGTGATACAACAGTTAGCAAATAACGAGTTGCACATGTCCTGGCTAGAATGATCTAGTTGGGGATGGTCCTGCTTTCAGTAGGGGGTTGGACTAGATGGTCTCTTGAGGTCCCTTCCAACCCTAACTTCCTATGATTCTACAATATGGGCAGGAAATGGGTCAAAGCAGCTTCCTGTGATCTTATCCATGGGACTTCACAGGGATTTGGGTTAGTGGCTACTGATTCTTTGTGGCTAGGTTCTTTGGGCTTCATGGGGACAACTAGGCAGCATTTTTCCTTTAGGAAGCATAGTTCCAGCCAAAGCATCATAGTGTCCAGAGTGCATACCTGCTTCTGAACCACTACTGTGGGAGGCAACTTATCTTCCTACTCTCCAGTTCATGCAGCTAGGCAGATCCACTGACCCCAATATTAGCAGGGGCTAAATCATGTTCCCATAGCCTCCCCATCTGTTCTTTTAGGTATCCTTTATTTGAATGATATAAAGTATAGGAAAACTCTGTGTAATTCCTTTTGCTGAATAACAAGGCAGAAATTGACTCAAAATGGATAATTCGCCATATAGCAGTTAGGTCACCTAGGAATGCACCTAAATGACAAGGTTTATGCAAGCTCATTAAAAAAAAAAATTTAAAAACCTTTTCATGCTGAGATAGAAGCTTGCTTCTTAGTGAACTATCCCAAACTCCTGTGCCCTGGAGAGACAGAAATGTATCCAGGACGTATCCAGGAGTATCTCCCAATGCAGATTTATTTAGTACTTTTTACCAGGATGCATAGAAGCCTGATGTCAATGATAGGCTCTTGGGGACCATGCCCAGGCAGCTTTGTGGGTCTGTCTTTCAGCTCTGGACTTGCACCTGGTGAGGCTGGTGATACCCTGATACCAGAGTTACCTGCTCAGTATCCCTTTCCCAGGTGACAACTTTGGCTTCTAAAAACAGAACAGGCAGCCAGAAGCAGGGGTGATATTTCCTGTCAACTCTTTAGGGCTCAGTGGTGGGGATAAGACCAGTCTCTATTCTGCCCATTC